ATGCTGGAAAATGTAACAAGAAAAAATTACTGTAATATTTGTACTTATTTTTTTTTTCTTTTTTGTAATACACATTTTTTAGAGCATGTATTTTTTTCTGAATAACGCCTACAACACTTTCTCGCATAGTTGAGCGTATTGCAAAAAAATACAAAATAAATAAAATTGCAAAATATCAGAAAAAATAGCAGTAAATGAAAAGAAATTAAAGAAAAACCAACGAAAAAAAAAAGAGAGGGGGCAAAAAAATTTCTGTCTAGCATTTTGCAAATTTCCCACATAATTATAAAGCGCCAGCAAGCGAAAAAAAAAGCTAGTGGAATGAAATGCATTTCAGCGCGAGAGTGCGAGTGGGAGAGCAAGAGGGAGGGCAAGCAGTGCAGAGCAAATGAAAGCATAAACATACAGAAACACACACACACACACACACAGGCACAAAAGCCGACGTCAGTTATACAAAGCGCCTGCTGACAGACAGCTGAGCTCTCAGCTGTCAGGAGTGAGCGAGACAGTGAGAGCGAGAGAGGGAGCGAGTGAGAGCAGTGTAACCGCTGCTGGTTACGCGCTTGTGTTGAGCCCGCGATTGTAAATTATAAATGCATGCGAGCGAGAGCGAGAGAGAGCGCGAGCGCAAAAATGCAAATATGATAATAATAATGTAAAAAGCACAAAGCACACGGCACAAAGCACGTCAAGTGAAAATTAAGAAAAAGCAAAAAAAAAATAGAAGAAGCAGAAGAAAAAAGAAGCCGCAACGCAGACAACTCTTGACTGCATAATGAAAATAATAGCCGTCACAATGATAAACATGCACACACACACACACACACACACGAACACACTCACACCAAGATGCAGTTAGCTTTAGAAAACGCAGTAGAATCACGGCAGAGCAAAGCTGAGCGAGAGAGCTAGGAGGGATGGAGGGGGGGGGGGGGGGGGGAGAGAGCGCACAGCCGCGGGCCAGTTGCAATTGAAGCAGTTGAGAAACTCACGAATGCCGGAAACAGGTGTCGCACTTGCACTTGTCTAAAACAACGAGAACAAAACTTTACATCATTATTCCCTGAAGTGTTGCGCTTATCTTTATCAACAGGAAGATAGTTTGGCGATAGAGTTGTGCTGTGATTTAACTTCTTGAGCACTTTGCCGGCCCAAAAGCAAATTTAAAGAAAGCGCTTTTAGCTTTGGGAAAAGTTTATTAAAATTATCACGTTGTGTTGTTGCTCTTAATTTATTTTAATTTGTTTTAATTTGGTTTAATTTGGTTTAATTTCAAATTGTAACAGGCAAATGCCTTTTATGAAATCAATACAAAATTCTAAGCTAAACTAAATTAAATTAAATTAATTTAAAATGCACTACATTTTATTTAAATGTTGTATTATTTTCCAATCAGAAAGTACGAGTTTTTACCAATTAGAACTATCAAAAATGTACTAATTAAACAAATGGAGCTTCTTCTTTGTCAGTTGATAACATGTTCTTCTTGTTCGATAACAAATCGATGAAAATCGATAAACTGTAGAACAAGTTATCGAATGCAAAAGAAAAAGCAACTCCGTGCTAAATTTAGAGCTCAAATGTTGCTGGATTAGTCTTAGAACGAATCTTTAAAAATCCCTGGAAAAGAAACCTGAAGATCACATTAAATTCGACCTGATTTGGCCAAACTTTTGTTTCTTTTTCTTCTTTTTCTTATTTTAATTTTATATCAATCATCATTAATCATATTTAAAAGAAAACTTTCACATCTAGCTGAGCCTTTCTATTAATTTGGTTTATACAATATTATACCATAATTTGGGCAATTTTAGAACTCGATTCTATCAAAGCCAATTTCCACCCGAATTCGTTACGCACAAATTAATTTTAAGTGGATTTTGGTCGGCAAATAAAAAAAAGAAATACAAATTTATAACTTTTGCACTGATTCGAATACTAATTGCGCTTTATATCACAGTTATAAATAACTAAAACCTGTTAAAAAAAAAATATATCATATCATAAAGAAATTGAACAATGGGAGCTTGACATTTAAATAATTTGAAATTATTTGCTAATTGATACAAAATTAAATGAAAACCTGAAATTTGACACAAACAAAAAACTGGTTAAGAAAGAAAAGAAAAAATAAAACGAAAAGTTTTCGTTCATCATTTAAATAAGAATTATTCCGGTAATATTTTGCATTTATTTGCATTATTTCGATTTCTACGTTTCTCCCTCGTGACTTGATTTCTTTACTTTTTAATTCTTTATTTTTTCTGTTTTTTAAAAGGTTTTTTTTGTTATTTTTATTAGGAATACAGACAGAAAGTTCGGATTGGATTATAAAGTAGTTAAATAAAAAAGATATGCAGAGTGTTGCTCTCTGGAATTTATTTGCTCCGTTTTAACTGATCCGAATATCATATGAAACATAAGAACTTAAGAACTTTGAGCCTTCCTGCTTAAAGGCCGCCCCATTTAATGTATCTGATCTCGAAGTTTATAGAATGCGGCACGTTTCTAGCCTTAAGACTGTTGCCTAGGTAAATGAACTTGCAGACAAAAGCTAACGGCGCTTTCAAGAGACAAATAGAGAAGAGCGAGAGAGAGAGAGCGAGGGAGAGAGAGAGAAGAGAGAGAGGGGGGGGGGGGGGGCATCAATGAGAGGCAGGCGCGAGCTCAGGTCGTGGCAGCAACGATTTTGCGGCTGTCGTGAGAACAAATCGAGTTGGCCACAAACTGTAAAATGTAACAAAATGATTAGCCGCATAATTTATGGCCAGGCCAAGACGTTAACAAGAACAGAGCGTCAAGCCGAGTTGACTGACTGAACTGACTGAATGATTGATTGATTGACTGACTGATAGCTTATTTGCTTGGGCGCCCAAGCTAATGCGAATTCTCGTTAGCTTTTTGGTTATTCAATGAACGCAACTCGATCGCCTTGAGGGAGGCTACCAAAAAACAACAAAATACAAAAAAGAGAACAAGTCAAATTGTGCTAGATGGCGATGCACGACTATAAGATGCCCTGTAGATGGATTTGAATAGGTTGAAATGCTAATTAGGTTTATTTTTGAGTGTGCTCTACTGAAGGAAGGCCTCGAGTTAGCTCTAAAGTAATTAAAATGAATAAAGTTTTTATTTACATTTTCTATAAAGAGAGTAGTCGACTCTGAGATACCCTAAGTACCTCTAGATCTAGTTCCATATAATCAGAAATTCTCAATATTGGCTGTGGTTAGAAAATCAACCTTTTCTATTTACTGGACAGTTTGAAAAGGTAAACAATATTATGTGCAAAATCCTATTATAGTTCCATTCATATACAAGTTCTTATTGTAGTTCCTTTCTTATTAGACTTCATATCTTTTTCATGCAAGCGTGTCAGATTCTTATCCGACAAATATAAACTTATTTTACATATGTCAACAAGATCCCTCTTAACAAATTTCAAAGCTTGAGCTCTTCAATTGCCCGAGTTCATTGGGCACAGTGCACAAAAGAGCCCAAAAATGACGTCAAATGCAGCGCAGGTAAAAGCTTTAGGCTTTAGGTTCAGGTGTTTTTGCTTTAACTTCGATTGTTTCACATACGTTGAATACATTTGAGAAACCGGCATTCTCTATAGACAACAGCAACAAAACAAGAAAACCTGTTTCTGGCAGCACAAAAGAGTTTGGCTAAAATAGGGGCTGCATTGGTCAGCTTTTCAAAAGGGGTTGAGTAACAATAAAAGAAAACCCTTCCGAGCAGAAACCTAATTAGTAGCCAGGCACATTTTTAAACACTTCACTTGGTATTCACTTGATTCACACTCTCTTTATTATATTTATTTACTTCTCCTGTAAATTTTTGTGTAATTTATAAACACTTTATTATCATAATTTCAAAGGCACGTGTTAATTGCAGATTTCTGGTTAAAAGAACGCGCCATAAAACACGCAACAGCGAAAAGAAAATCTAGAAAAAATGCGAGCGCTGCCGGCGCGACAACATTGAAAACTCGCCGCAGACTAAAGAGACTTCAAATGGAATTTGTGTTGTGCCGTTTTTATCGCTGCAGATACATTTGTATCTAGATACACACGACACGCTCGCAAGCAACAACAAAAAAAACTCTTAAGCTCTGCGGCAAGCAGCTCTCTAAATGAGCCAAAAAGCCGGTTCGTGTTGTTATAAGCTATTCTGTTTTGGCCATTTATTAAGCTCGTCGTGGCCGCTAGGTTTGTTTCTTTTAAGCCAAAGGCTTTGAAAACAAGTTTCATTTGCTCTTAAGTTGCCAACATGTTGCGGCAACACCTGCACTGCTTGCCTTTGAACTGCTTATATACGATTGGGCTGCAGCGATCGTAGCTTACAAATTTTTGCATACTTTTATGCTGTTGAGAAAGAGTGTTAAGAATACGAGTTGCAACTATTTCGGAAGTATTAATGATTCGAATTGCAACTATTTGCTTATATAGCATGCGTAATTTAGTTAAATTATATAAAAACGCTTAAGCTGTCAATTTAAAGAATACATCAATAAATAATGCCACCATTTGAACTGCTTGCCCTTCGCATTGCTTGCAAACGATTGGGCAGCAACGAACGTTGCATACTTTATTGCTGCGGGAAAAAAGTGTTCACATTTTGACGGTGCGCATTGCAACAATTTCCTTATATATTCCTTATGTATATGGCGAAATTAAGTAAAAGTATTTATTATTTTTTTTAATTTATGCTTAAGACTTCAATTTGATCAATACATGACTAAGCAATGCAACTCCAATTGAACTGCTTGAAGCAGTTCAAATAGCAGCTGCCGTTGATGCCTGCAAAAAATGTTGCATAATTGTAGGCGCAAGAGAAAAAGTAACTACGGCAGCTATTGAGTGAGGGAAATTAAGCGCGAAAGAAGAGATCAAATCTCTTCTGGTTTTCAATTTCCTTTTTATAAAGTTTTACATATTAAAAACGAGACTATTTATTATTAATATTTTATAATTTAAACAAATGCTACTTACGCAGTGGAGTTTTTGCCAATAGTTTTGGGGAACCGCTGCCATTGCCATTGCACAGTGAGCTCAGGTCGCTGTGCGAGCTCTTCTGGCTGTCCTTGCTGTAGGAGCGACCACTGTAAGAAACAAAATAAATAACAATTGCATAAATAATATACTATTTAATAATACAGTAGAGTGCTGTTCACTAACATAATGCTAACAGCAAGATTCGCTTTATTATCCACGAAAACGCACAATTTAATTGTGGATTATAAAAAATGAGCGATAGAAATTGAAATTATGTGCAAAATATTTGCCCGAAAATTAATGAGCGTGCACGTGAATCGTATTTCTTGAATTTTCAATTGGATTTTCCATTGTGAAAAACTGGCGCCCACTCAAAAATGCGCAAAGCTGTGAAATTTTTTCAATCGCTACGCTGCACAATCACAAAAACAAATTGAAAATTAAAAAGTAAAAAAGAAGTGAAAAAAACAACAATCATAAAAATCAGGTGAAAATTGGAAAATGCCAGTAGATAAAATCAATTTGCCCAAAAATTATGCGCTACTTGTTTTAGTTTTTTTCTTCTTCTGCTGAGCGCTGAAATTTCCCTTTTTTTGCGGCTTCCGCTCGCTGCGCTAATTGAAAATGCTGCAAGAAAAAAGGGGGAAAAAAATGTTTGGGCAGGGATTTTTTTTTTTTGTAGCAGGAAACGGACAGGCGAGCAAATGGCCAAAAGGAATTAGCATTGCCAACTGCGTTTCCGCTGGCAGCCAGCGGGCATAACTGTAATTTATGTGCAAGCAACTCCAACAACAACAATGAATGCAACAACAAAAACTGAAAAATGTCAAAGTAGTTGCGTCGTTCGCAGTTGTCAACAAGGCGACATTTTTCTTGTATGCCACATTTTTCACCATCTTTTGATACCCTTGCACTGGGTACCATAATATTGCCCTGGAAGATGTAGCTTGTTAAGAAGGAAAATTTATTTATAAAAGTATCGATAGAATATAAGTTTAAAAAAAAGTTCTAAAGGAGAAAGTAAGGATTTCCTCGGCATGCCTGCCGTAAACTTGGGCGAAAAGTGAGGCGCGTAAAGGCTAAGTTTGATGAAAATATCGTGGAAAACATAATATTTTGCCATACAAAAACTCATTTTGCAATCGGTTCTTCCTATAGATTTAATAAGATTCAGCTCATATTTAAACAGCCTGCTTTTACTATTATAAGATATCTTGCTATATAAGCTTATATAATATAATTAGATATACATTTATAGGCGTATCAAGAGTAAGACAAAGTATATTTTTGACTATATGTATATATAAAAAAATATAATTGAAATATAGGACTATATCAGTACTATATTAACAACTCAACCTATATGCCAATAAAGTTCGCTAGATAAAACTTGGTAAATCTGTCTCTTTTTTATATCATTTAGCTGTTTTAGTAAACTTCGTTAAAACTTGAGTTTTTTATATGAAAAACATATGCAAACATATATTTCTGAAAAGGGCATTCAAATGTCGACAGCCCTTTGAAACCTGTATTTGTTTTTCTTGTTTTCCTTTGTTTTTTTTTGTGGTTTCTTTGTGCAGCGACAAGTGAAAAATGCACCGTTCACGGCATTTAATTCAATTTTCTTGTTGTCGCATAATTAAATGCAATTATAACGCAATTGTCAATGCATCTGCACCTGCTGTCAGCCAACCAATGCGAAAAATCCACCAAAGAGGATGCCCGCAAAAGAAAACCACTTTTTTATTATCCGGTTATAAATCAACATTTTTGAAAAAAAAAAAAATAATTTAATAAGAAAAAAGTTGAGCGCACCCAATAAATGTTGCAAAGAAAACTATTTAACATTTTATGGAGCGCAAAAGAAAACCAATTCAATTGCAGGTTTCTTTGTGGCAGGGTTGCCAACGTATCATGCAACTGAAGTACAGTTGTGCAGTAGTTTTGCTGTAGAGTTGCCAACAAATGTATTTATTAGAAAACCACATTGTGGTAGAGTTGCCAACGGTAACATACATAATTATGGTAGGGTTGCCAACGCATCATACAACTGCAGTACAGTTGTGGTTAGTTAAAATAAGCAGTTTTGCAGTAGAATTGCCACCATTTTAAATTAATTGAAAGAGACATTGTAGTAGGGTTGCCAACGTATCGCACAACTGAAGCACTGTTGTGCCTAGTAGAAAAGGCAGGTGGGCAGTCAACATTTTGATCAAATTGAAGAACACATTGTGGAAGGGTTGTCAACGTATCTCACAACTGAGGCACAGCTGTGATTGGTTAAAGAAGCAGTAGGGCTGCCATCATTGGGACTTATTAGACTTGTACATCATTTACTTTTAACTATTTAAGATATCTTTAAATAAAACCTTGTATTTGAAATTAGGGACATTAAAAAGAAAGGGATATATTGAAGGAAATTCCCAACAATATAACCCCAACAAGGACAGGGTGTTCGCGAGCCACATGATGCACCCTATACTTGAACCAATCCCTGATGAGCTCTAAAGGGGATTGACTGCAACTCATATATGTGCACTATGGGGCAAAGTTTGTCGTTGTTGTCGCCGTCTATTGCATATTTAATTAATTTCTTCATATTTGCATTTCATTAATAATGCATTTTAATTACATCGCACTGCAACACCATGAACCACATGCCCCTTCCCTTGCCACAGTCTGTTACATTTTCAGTGTCTGATGATATAATAAATATTTATAACGAGCGTCACGAACGCAATGCGAAGACAGACAAAACTTGTGAGCTATTTTAAAGTGCAATTTGTTTATAACTCAGTGCCCTATCGTCCCTCAACAACCCATCCCCCCCCCCCCCAACCGGTCCACTCGCCCCCCTCGACTACTTTTGGTGCAAGTTTTGATTCTTCGTCTTAATTTCCGCACATTGTTTATGCCTCAGTTCACTTGGCGGCGTGTCGATGCGTTTTTCCTCTCCGCTTCTCGTTTTGCATAATTAATTTCATTCCCTCAATTCCTAAGCTCTGCACTCAACAGCCCCCTAACCCTCACTCCCCCCTCACGCTGGCCCAGAGCCCCATTTTCCTTGGTGCACTTATTACCTGCTTTTTATGAACTTAACTTTGCCTGTTGCGGAAGCTGCATTTCGGTGGGCGTGGCGGCGCCCTAAAAAAAGGCAGCGACACAGAAAAAGAAAATGAATAAAGAAGAACCTTGACAGTGAAAATGTGCTGGCAGAGTGAAAATGGGGTTGCGCGCATTTGCCATTTCCTGGAAAACGGAAAAGTGTGGCAAAGTGTCTGAAGAAAATGTACGAAATGAATCTTGAGCTGTTAAAAATATAATGAGAATTATAAGGAAATCATTTTATGAACTTAAATAAAAGGCGAACACGGCATAGAGAGAGGAAAATGTACAACAAAAAAAAAGGGATATAAAAGCAGATTTATGCACTTATCATGTTGCATTTTCTAAGAGTTTATCTTTTTTCAGGAGAAATAGAAAATGAGATTTTTGTGATTTTAGGATATAATAAATAAAAATAAAACGAGAAAGTAAGGATATATTCGGCACGTCAAAGATTTGACACCCTTGCAGACATTTGCCTGCTTATAAAATCTATAGATATGTGAAAACAGTGAAGTTTGGACAATCTGAGTTTGATGGAAATATTCGGAAAAATATATTTTTGCGCATATAAGAACCTAGCATCAAGTCATAGCTAGACAAGGATATTATCATTTGAAGGAATGATGTTTATGGTAACAATATATCTAAGCATGGCTCACAGATTCAAAGACTTTTTGTATATAAATTTATTTCCAAGACTTAGCCATAGGTTTATTATTTATTTATTAAAGGTATAAAGCGGTGGGAATTGCGATACAACTACTCGATACGATAGATATAAATCTGTTTGTCAATCTGTAATCAAGAATTTCACCGCAAGAAAAACGTTTGGTTTTCTTTTTCGTCGGATTTTAAACATATTTTCAAATAGAAGAGGTAGGTCAAATGTTACGGATTAATTTATATTTTCCACGGCCGGGAAGTGAATAAAAAAACGTATGTCTAAGATTTTAAACTCAAAACTTTCCATGGACAAGTCCGCGAAATACTCAATAATAATAATAATAATTATAATAATAAAAATGGAACTCCATTCGATTCTGTCTTCACATAATATCGACTTGCATACAATTTTATGGGTAGTAATAGAACTTCGAAAAACAGCTGAGCTAACCCAAGTAAATAGAGGAAAAACCCAACTTCGGCTAGTTGAACAGTTTTTTCTCTTTGTTTTTCACGTGTTACACACTTTTAACTTCACTTCTTCGCCACGTTCTATTGATCCATATTCAGAGGTGTAATTAGAACAGAGTTGTTAATGAAAGATAAACGCGGCTTCCACCCAGCTCCAACTCAAATTGAACTACATAAAAATGAAGAACATTAGCTGCCAGACAACAAACAACGAACAACAAGCAACAAGCAACAAGCAACAGCAACTGTTGTCAACAGAGGAATAATTACCATTTCTTATCGCGCCGCTATTCCAATTTACACATTTTGCAATAGAGACCCGAAGTCGGCGGGCTCTGAAGTTGATTTTATATCTGCGGCTGACTGCACATGTCGTGTCTCATTAAGAAATGCAACAAAAACAACAACAACAAGAAAGCAACATTCGAGACATTTTCCTAACCTCAATGTTGACAGCCGTCTGCCAGTGTTGACAACGCACCATTGTAAGAAATATATACATATATATACATATATGTATATGGCATAAGTATCTATCGTATATAAGGCACACAGCCCATTTATGACGCACAGAGAAAAAAAGTGTGGCAAAGCGGGCGAGCAGGTTGCACATTTGCCATTTCTGTTGCAGCAGACGATGTTGCATGCCGCCAACAACAACAACAACAACAACAACAACAACCGGTAGCAGGGGAGTTTGTTGTCGTTGTTATCGTAATTGCCGTTGTTGCTGCTTTTATACACTTACCAAGCATAAGTTCAATGGCAATTTTATAATTTTTGTAATGCTTTCAGTGGGTAAAAAAAAAAAACAGTATGCAACAGGCAGAAGGTAAGCAGCCAGACCCCGACTCTATCTAGCCGT